ATATATAAAAAAAAAATTAATTTTCTCATTTATTTAATTATTATTATTATTATTATTGTCATTTTTAAACAGAAGAAGAATTTGTCGGATTTTTTAAGCATTTATTCCAGGTTTCTACCCGATTCCTTAGGGATAAATGCTCGTATATCAATGATACCACCTTATAAAATTTTCCGAAGAATGTGTGAGGGGGGCCGTTTCCCGTACGGTTTCTTTATTATTATTATTATTATTATTTTTAAAAAAATTTTTGATCGTTTAAATGAAAGTCGAAATATTCAATCGAGACTTTTTATATTTTTTAAACATTCCCTGGACGAAAAAAAAATCGATCGATTTTTAAAATACCGGAAATTATTTTTTCGAAAAAGGAAAAGGCGGGCGGGGGGAGGGGGGAGTCGTGGTAATAAATCATAAATCGATGACAGATAAATCAAAACGAATGGAAAATTTTTTTTGTAAAAATGATTTTCACATGAATAAATTCGTACCACCGCCCTGGCTTAAAGCCAATAATAATAATAATAACCGATTCTTGGCAAGGAAAATTTTCCACGTACTACAATAAACGCATAATCACACGCACACACGCACGCACGCACATGCGTACGCATATGAAAATGCAGTTTGCTGGCCAAAAAAGGTCAAAATTTTTTTTGTTTTGATTACGAATTACATAAATAAATTTTTTTTTTTTTTTTTTAGTTGACAAAAAATAATGAAGTCGTTTGACTTGTTGTCAGTTTTCGGGTTATAATAATATTAATAATAATAATAATAATATTAATAATAATAATAATATTACGGTAATATCATTCGTAGACGTCGTTTGAGGCTGTTTAATTAAAAAAAAAAAAAAACGTCTTTTGCATTCGTTTTTACCGATTTTTATCATTACGTTCAACTAGTTAAATACCTTTTTCTAGGTTGATACCTAGCCTACCTTTCTAATTTTTTTTTTATTTTTAGTACCTACGAGTTTTCTCACTGCTATTATCATTATTTTCTTTTTGCCTAAATCCTTCCTGAGTTTTCTATATGGTCGTTCTTGTTTGTCTATAATTTCCTTCTTTCTCTTTAATAAATTTTTTATTGATTAGGATTGACAAATTATTTATTTACGTAGAGTGATAAGGGTGGTGGCGGTGTTGGTGGCGGTGGTGGGGGTGGAGTTTGATAAGTTAAAATTTTTTTAGTTGGCGTACAAATAGTTGACACGATACGATCGTTTAAAACGAGTTTAAGACACCATAGGGAAATCATTCAAAGTTCACATATCCAATAGTATTATTGGGATATAGTTTTTTTTTAAGGTCAATAACCTTAAAAAACCATAAGACTAGTGTAATAACTGATAATCAGTTTATCCAAGTTCTTTCTTCCGCGAGGATATATCAGTGGTTTTTTTGGTATACCGGTAACATGGTATCGACTCCAACGTTTCTCGCGGTTTTATCATTTTTAACATTTTTTATCGATCATGTTTTAACTACTCCGATAAAATACGATCAAAGACAAGAAGGAGAATTAAACATACGTACGGATTTACAAGATGTCGTTTTTGTCGTCGTACCACCCAAAGATATACTATCCGCTGGTATGGGAGTCGTTGCAAACACAGCAGCTAATTTTTTAAAATTTAACAGAGGAGGATTCGGGGGGCCTAACGGACTACCATCGCAAAGAAGACCATCTTCGAAATTGGGTTTCTTACCGTTTAAATTTAATTTTGGTAAACCTGGTCTTCAATCGAAAAGAATCGTACAATTCGGTGATCCAAATCGTTATAATTTTAACAACGGTAGATTTCCGATAAAGGGAAGGTATACAACGGAAGTGACTACAACGACGACAGAAGAAGAGGATACGACGGAAGAAGAAGAGACGACGACCGAAGCTGAAGAAACCACAACGATGGCTGTCGAAGATGATGATGATGAAATGATGACTACGACGGAAGGAAAAAGTGTTAAAAAAACTCTTAAAAATAAAAAGAATAAAAAAAATAAAAATAACAACAACAACAATAACAATACTAATGATAATGATGATGAGAATAACAATGGCGATGAAAATGACGAGAACAATGATAATAATAATGAAAATAATAACTTTACGAACAATGGAGAAGAAGAAGGAGAAGAATCGAATGAAACCGAAGAACCGATAATTAATTTTGATTCTCCAAGAATTGCTGGAGAATTTTCTCCCTATGGAATGGATCCAAGTTCGATATTTAGTCACGAAGGTTGTGGACCGGATGCTTATAGAGATTTAACCGGCGTTTGCGTTTACAAAAGACAAATTAATTAATTAATAAAAAAAAAATCTTTAAATTTTTAATTAGCGTGCAACAAAAAAAAAAAGAAAATTTTATATATATTTTGTATATAAAATACTTTTTATTACTTTTATTATTATTTTTTTTTTTTATTTTTTTATTAATACTTATGTATGTATTTATTTATTTATTTATTTACCGCATCCTTTTGCTGAATCATTATTTAAAAAAAAAAAAAAAACATAAAATCAAAAAAATAATTAATATTCGACATTTTCTTTCTTTTTATTAAGGTGCGTATGTGCGTGCGTGTGCATGCGTATACGTGTGCGTGACAGTTTTCTTTTAATTAAAAAAAAAAGAAAAATTATTTAATTAACGGCGAGTTAATAATTAATAATTAATTAATAAATAAAAAACCGAATCATTCATATTTTGATATTTTCATACGATTATTTTTTTTTCCGAGGTTTAAAGTCGAAAATCAAAGAAAATTTAAAATTTTTCCTTTTATTATTATTATTATTATTATTATTATTATTATTATTATTATTATTATTAATAGATCAATAACTTATTGATTTTATTATGTATTTATTTATTGATTTATTAAAGTAAACCAAAAAATGGGGTCACCGTTAGGAAAAAATAATATTTGGACGATTTAATTTTTATTCATTTTTTTTTTTTTTTTTTTTTTTACGTTAAGGATTAGGCTATCGATCGATATCATTATCATTATCATTACTATCATTATCATTATTATCATTATTATTATTATTAATAAATTGATTTATCGATACGATTTTTTCTCCGTAAATTCCAAAAAAAAAAAAAACCGAAACAAAAAGGAAAAATTTATTTAAAGGAAAAAAAACGATCGAAATCGTCGCGTTGGATTTTTTTTTTTTATCGATTATCATCATCATTATTATTATTATCATTATTATCATCGTCATCATTATCATCATCGTTAATTAATTATCGATTATTGATTGTAAAATTTAATTTTACGGAAAAATTTTAAATAAGTAGAAAATTCGATTTTGTAAAACGAACCGGAAATAAACGAAAGAAACGAATTCATTTTCTATGTCAACATTTTTTTTTTTTTTTTTTTTTTTTATCGGAGAAAAGTAATAATAATAATGATAATAATTTTTTTTACAATGTCATCGTGAATGGGTGTTTATAAAAAAACTTTCATTTACTCTTTTTCAAAACTCTCGTAAAAATCATTCAGTTGAATTATAGCAATCGTTCCACGTAAATCTTTTCTTCGGTTTGCGCAAAAACGGCAGCAAAAAAGGAAAATCGAACGAGTGAGTAGAAAGAATTTTTTTCCTCTTGTAATTTTCCAAGACTCCTTCCGGAAAAATTTTTTTTCCGGGTTTTGTTTTAACGAAAAAAAAAAAAATTTTTTATCGTAATACTACGTTTTTGTGTTTTTAAATGGCGGAATATTAAAATTTTTTTTTTTATTGTTTATTTAAACAAATTGTAAATTTTTAAATATGGCGGATAAATTTCCCGCCTTTTTTTATTCGATAAATTTTTTTTTTTTAAAAATAACGTTTAGTTTTTTTTTCTTTTTTTTTTTTATTATAAAGTTTAATTAAAATTAATTTAATTTGTTTGTTTGTATGTTCGTTCGTTCGTTCGTTCGTTCGTTCGTTTGTTTGTTTGTTTGTTTGTTTGTTTGTTTGTTTGTTTGTTTGTTTGTTCGTTCGTTCGTTCGTTCGTTCGTTCGTTTGTTTCTTTCTTTGTTTGTCTCTTTAAAGATAAATTTTTTAATAATTTTAAAAATAAAATTTACGCCATTTTTTTTTTAAATAAAATCAAACGACGAAAACGAAACAAAATCCAAATTTTTTTCCAGTCGTTTCTCCAGTCAACACGCACACACAAAATTTCGTTTTAACGTAAAAATGCATTCTTCGAAACCTAAATAATAGTTATGATAATAATAATAATGAAACAAAACAAAAAATTTATGTTTTGAAAACATTTTTAACTTCGGGGTCAAATGCGTTAACTTTTTTTTTCTTTCTTTTTTTCTTTTAAACATTATAAAACAAAAAACATACTCGTTGCAACGTCATTTAAATATTATTATCATTATCATTATTATTATTATTAATGGAATGACGTAGTAGAAAATTTTACGTCGTAAAATTTATTCAGGACTCGATTATTAATAGAAAGAAATAAAAAAAAACTCACGAAACGAAATAAAAAAAAAAAAAATCAAAAATAAAAGTCACCCCGGATTTAATATATTTTTATTAATAATAATAATAATAGTGATAATAATACTAATATTAATAATAATAATAATAATCATCATCATCATAATAATAATAATTTTTCAAGTATTAAAAAATTAATTTTTAAAAAAGTTTAATTTTAGTTAAATTAAATGAAAAATAAAGTCAGGGAAAGTAAATTTAAAAATTTTATCATTATTATTATTATTAATATTATTATTATTATTGATAATTAATGTGGGGGGTCATTCTAAAGATTAATAATTATTTATTTATTTATTTAAATTTAAATTCCGTTTATTTGTTCTTTCGTTCGTTCGTTATTATTTAAATAAGTTTTTTTTTTTAAAACTCATTCGGTGAAAAGTAGAATAAATAAATAATTTTTATTTTGGCGTGGGATTAGATAAACCGGAAACGGATATTTAATTTTTGTTTTTTTTTGGTTTCAAGTGGTTAAATTTAGGTTTGGGTTAACAAAAAAAAAAAAAGTAAAAACTTTTCTTAAATTCATGTCGTATGAATAAATGAAAAGAAAACGAAATTTCGAATATCGAATAGAATATTTTCGAATTACAATGGAAAAAACTTTTCCTTTTTTCCTTTTCCTTTTTTTTTCCTTTTTTGTGTTATTGTTAATGACACAAAGTAACAAAGTAACAAAAAAAAAACTTTCACTTGTTTTCTTTTTTTCTTTTTCTATTCCTTTCCTTCGGTTAGATTTAGTTTTTTTTTAAAGAAAAAAATTCATATTTCATTTTAAATTAATTATTTTGTTATTATTATTATTATCATTCGTTAGAAAGTTATTAATAATAATAATAATAAATACGTCATAATTTATAAATTATGAATGGAGATAGAAAACAAATTCTAAAAATAATTTTAAAAAAAAATTATTCAATCCGACAATATTATTACTATTATTAATAACTTAATAAATTTTTTTTTTTGGTTTGAGTCGATGTAATCAATCAATCAATCAATCATTTTTTTTCATTCACAGAATTAATTTAAAAAAAAAAAAATCGTGAAAAGAAAAAAAAAATTTATAAAAAATGTCTGAACCATCACCATCTCAAGCCATATTTACCGTTCTCCTCGTGTCAGCTTTAATATTTCTCATCGTTAGATTTTGTATAGGAGATGAATCCGTCGATCATAATAATAATAATAATTATTATTATTATCATTCGGCTATGCGTAGGAATTTCGTGCCGCCATTGATTTCATCTTGGCCGTGGACGAGGGAAATGATTAAAAAACAATAAGAAAAAAAAAAAAGGAAGAAGAAAACATTTTTTTTTTATATTAAAAATATTTATTTATTTATTATTTAACTATTATCATCATTATCATTACTGTTTTAAATAAATATTTTTATCATTATTATTTTTTTAACGAAAACATAATTTATTACAAATATAATAATTTTTATTTTTTTAAAACGAACGAAACTTTTTTTTTATTTTTAAACCAAAGACGATCGTTAATAAATTTAAATATTTATCATCACATCGGTTAAGGCCCCCCCCACAAAAAAGAAAAAATGGCGAAGGCGTTTTCAATAAACAAATAAAACAATTCACAAGAATTTTTTTTGCAATAAATAAATAATAAATAAATAAATAAACAAATAAAATTTTTTTGTTAAAAGGTTTTTAGAATTTATTAATGCCCCCCACTCTTTTTTTTGTGGACCCAGGAGAAATGCGTTTCGCACTAACCCGCCCCCACCCGATAGTGGGAAGAGTGTGGGGGGACTAAGTCAAAGCCACTACCCGACTAAAACTCCTGGACTTGTTTTCCTGAAGGGGGGGCCCTCCCGGAAATTTTCGCATTTCAGCCTCGACTCTCTTCTGAGCCAGAACTATCAGGTTCTCACTCACGAGTAGGAATCTTACCTGAGAAAGACCTCCGGTACTTCCTCTTTTTACCCTTCGAGAGGCAATCCCCCGATCTGTTACCATCGTTCCTACCTCTTCCGCAGAGTCTGCGAGTGTCCGGAGAGAGAGAGATGTCTGGGGTTCTTGGTCCCCTTGATCTTTCATTTGTCTTCAGCTCTGTCATGGCTACCTCGGGCTCCCCCGAGGTATCCAATTCGAATATTTACCCCTAGCGGACGCCTAGTCACGTGGAAAATCCAATCCCAGAACCCCCACCCTTAAAACATCCTCTATACCTAACCTTCAAGTAGTTGGATTACATGAGTACACCACCACAACTTCTGGTACGCCCTCCTCCCCTCCCTCCGTTTTTTTTTACACATTTATCATCAATTTATTAATGATTAAGGAAAAATATTTTTTTAATCGGTTAAGGAAAGAAAAAAGTACGATGACCTTTCGTACCTTTTGTCAAACAGTAATTAACAATGTACCTCAGGTACATATAAAATTATTATTATTATTATTACGATCCTTCCAGCAAAAAAAAACACCTTTCACCGAATTAAATGAAAAAAACTGTTAAAACTCGTTTTTGCAATTTAATAACCTTGGAAGAAAAGAAAAGAACAGATAAATTGTTGATATTTTGCAAATAGGTGTTGTTTATACGGGTTATTCCCGGTCATACAAAACTTGCCACCCCGGTATTTCCCCCTCCCCTCCCAATCTCTATCTCTTTCTCTTTTTTTACTCACTTACGGTACTGAGTAAGATTTTTTGTAACGTTAAATTATAATAAAAATCATAATAATCAAAACTACGTGGAACGCTGGAGAAGAAGAAGAAGAAGAAGAGAAAAGAGTTGTTGTTGTTGTTGATTATCATTATTATTGTTAAAAAAAGCAGAAGGTCAACTTGTATCTCAGTTTAAAAAGTGGATCTTGAAGAAGATATAATAAAACAATTATTATTTAAAGGTATTTTTCTTTAAAAAATTTTATTGTTTGTTTGTTTGTTTTAAAAAAAATTTACCGGTAAGTTCATATCATCGATTGTTTTTTTTATTTTTTAATTTTCTAGGTCAAGGTTCACATAACGTTTTTGGAAAATAGTTTTGAAAAAATTGCGGTTGTTGTGATTGTGTCATCATGAATTCGACAAACTTTATCGTTTGTTTAATAATTTTTATGGTAATTAACGTCATCAATGGTATACCCATCGAACAAACAAACGATTTTCAAGATTCGATATTAAATAAAACAAATTGTAACGTAAGTATTTATCATTATTATCATTATCATCACTCTTTACATAATTTTTAAAATTATTTATTGATTTATAGACGGATACGGATGTGTACGATCAAAGACAAAATGGCACCGAAAATTACAGAATAAATTTAAATGGCGTCATAGTATTATTAGCACCGGCAGAAACCGTTTTACAAGTTGCACAACTTGCCAATTTGGATAACGAAATTGAAAATATAAATAAACCCTCGTCACAGTTAAGACCCAAACCTAGACCACCATCACCTAAAATTTCAAACGACGATGAATCGTCGAAAAAAACGGAAACGGAAATGAAAAATCCTTTAAGGTAAGTGCATGTCGGCTATTTCCTATCTTAGCGAGAAAGTTTTATATGTAAAATACGTCATCAAGTACTTTCCCTTAATTAATTTTTTATTTTTTTTCTAGAAAAAGATCGAAATTTTCAAATATTTTCGACATAATAAAAAATTTAAAAATACAACAAACAAGAGAATATAAACAACAAACAACGGAATAATAAAAATATCATGTACAAACAATATAAAAAAATTATAAATAATTAAAAACCCGGTACCTAAATACTCATTAATTAATTAAGGTCACATATAAAACTTATTTTATTATTATTATTATTTATTTTCTAATAAGAAGTTTAATAAATTAATTAATATAATTTTAATTATTATTATCATAACTAAACGTTTATTTATTTATTTATTTTCTTTCTTTCTTTTCAAACATTCATTTTACAATTATTTATTTATTTATATTTCAATGATACTATATTTTATTAAATTAATTTTCAAATCAAAAATACAAAATTAAAATCAATAATAATAATAATAATGATAATAAAAGAACTGGACCCTGGATCAACATACAAATATCCGGGGATTGAAGAAAATTTTGGGATAGCCAACGAGGAAATTAAACCGCTATTGAAGAAAGAATATTTTAAAAGATTGAGGCTTATATTACAGTCGGAACTGAATGGAAGAAATAAGTTAAACGCCATCGGCACATTAGCAGTTCTAGTAATACAATACAGTTTTGGCCTCGTCGACTGGACAAAAGAAGAAATCACGCACCTAGACAGAAGGACAAGAAAAATATTAACCATGAATGGTGCGTTACGTCCAAAAGCTAATGTGGGTAGATTGTACGTCAGCAGGAAAGATGGAGGAAGAGGAATACGACAAATAGAAGCGGCATACCAGAATGCCATTATTGGAATGGGAAAATACATAGAATCCCATCAAGAGGACCCTATCTTAGCCCAAGTTATACATGCAGAAGAAAAAACTACAAAAAAAGGAGTTCTGAAAAGGACAAAACAAATCGTCAAAGAAAATAAAGAAAACGAGATAATGGAAGAAGGGCAACTTGCAACTTATGATAGCAAAGCCCAATCTCAGAAGAAATTATGTCAATATCTCCATTGGAGTATATGCCGAGAATATGGAATGGATGGATTACCCAAGGAAGGATACAACCACATTCCAACCCCGGTTACGACAGTAGGTCCATGCACAGTTCTGTATGATCAACAAATCCACACTGACAGAACTGTGCCAGCCAACAAACCGGATATCATCCTGGGAAGCATAATGCGGTAAAATGGTGTAAATTAATTGAAGTATCCGTGCCGGCAGAAAAAAACACCACAGCCAAAGAAGCAGACAAAAGGCTGAAATACAGAAATTTGGAAATTGAAATAACCAGGATGTGGGAAACAAAAACAGAAACGATTCCGGTCATCGTGGGAGCATTGGGAGCCATGCCACATTCAATGAAAGGAAATTTAAAGAAGATTTTGAAGAATCTAAAGGAAGAAACCATCCAGGAAATCGCACTATGTGGGACGGCCCACATTCTTCGGAAAATATTATAAATAGCACCACCGATATTCGAGTATTTGTCCCTAAGGAATCGGGTAGAAACCTGGGATAAATGCCTAAAAACCCCGACAAATAAGAGCCTTGTCGTGTTTAAGAGTGACCATAATAATAATAATAAAGTTTTATATTTAGCACCGACATAAAAAGTTTTATTTTATTTTATTTTATTGTGTGATTGATTATGTTTGCGTTTATATATATTTTATGTAAAATTCATATTTTTTTAAAAATGTTTAACGCTTTTTAAACATGCAAATTTAACGCCTTCACGCATTTTATTTTTTCAGTTATTTTTCAATTTTCCCACTTTTACTTCTTTTTACCAGAGTTTCCTCGGTGAGTGACACTTAAAGAAAATTTTTTATTCGACGAAAAATGAAGTTTAAAATCAACGAATAAAAAAAAAAATGTGAGTAAAATGTATTTTATTATATTAAAAAAAAAATTAAATTTTGTATATCATCATCATCATCATCATCATTATTATTATTATTATTATTATTATTATTATTATTATTATTATTATTTTATTTCAGAGGAAAATTTTTTTTTTTACTTTTTAAATAAATCTCATTAAAAAAAAAGAAAAAAAGTTTATTTAATAATAATAATCTCATATCGTTATCATCATCATCATCGTCGTAAAAAACATTTGCAAAAAGGAAAAGCAATAATAATAATAATAGGAAAAAGGAGGAAGGAAAGAAGGAAAAGGAAAAAGGAAAAATGATGGAAAACGTTAAAAAACTTTTTCAAATATCAACCATTTACGATGATAATATCAAAGAAGAAAGATCATCATCATCATCGTCGTCGCATTTTATATTTAAAGATATAAACAAGGGAAATTTACCGGAAAATTTTCAACCGGGTGAAAACATCGAAAGTTTTTCCGCACTTTTTCAACTTGCCAAACTCAACATAATCGCTCGAATGATGTCGAAAGAAATACAAATATTATTACCAAGTGATCAATCATGGAGATTGAAAAATTATTTTAAACTTCTCAATAAGCAAAAAGAAAAAACTCTTGAACTTCGTATGTAAGTTTTAACTATTATTATTATTATCATTATCATTATCATTATTTTCTATTAATTAATTAATAACTTTATTTATTTATTAAACGAATAACACGAAACGAATACAAATTAAAATTAAACCCAACATAACACAAAAATTATAATTAATTACAATAATTAAACAAATATTAATAATAATAATAATAATAATGATAAATTTTCTTTTACATTAGTCGGAAAAAAAAACAATTAATCGGGTAAGTATTAATTAATTAATTAATTAATCAATCAATCAATCAATCAATCAAGTGATATCCCTCTTGCATCATTTCATTTAAAAAAATTTTTTTTTTTTCAAACATTTCCCCCCCTGCCTGCCCACGAGATGACGTCATAAATTTGCGTGTCTTTTTTCCCAATACGTAATTTTCCTCGGTTAACATTTTTCCCATTTATTTTCATTTTAATAATAATAATAATTATGTATTTATTTTGACATATTTCGCGTTATGAAAAAACGTTAAAAAAAATAAATTCGATATATCGATCGATATTTTTATAAAACGAGTTTAACTTTAATATAATTTATTTATTTTTTTTTTTATAATAAATCGATGGAAAATTTAAAAACGGAAATAATAATAATAATGTTTGAAGAGAAAAATGCGAAAGGAAATTTTTTCAATCCAACGGGAAGGAAAGTTTTTATTTTTTTTTGGCGGGAGGGCTGGAGAGGGTTGGAGAGAGCAGAGGGAAGGGAGGGGGTTTAAGGCAAAAAGTTTTTAAAAATGGGACAAAAAATATAAAAAAAAAAGGAAAAAGTTTTTTAAATAATTCGTACTAGGTTCCGATTACTTTTTTTTTTTTGTAAAAATAAAAGAAACTTTTTTTTTTCTTAAAAAAGAAAATTTTGTGTCGTAATCGACTCGCGACCTACATATGTCATAACCGTTTAGTATTATTATTATTATCATCATTATTAATAAGTTCTTTAATTTTTTTTTAAATATAATGAAATTAACGGGGAAATTTTTTTCAAATTAAATTCCCTTAATTTTTAATTTTATACATAATAATAAAAACATAAACAAAACAGTTAAACACAAAAACAACAACAACAGTTACAATAATAATAATAATAGTGGTAAATCCTAAATTATCAATGTTTCAAAATTAATTAATTGAAACTGAAAACAACAACAACAACAACCAATTTAAAAAAAATGTTACATTAACAACAATCTTTATTTTACTATTTTTTATTTTTTTATTTTTAATTTAAATATAAAAAAAAATTTTAAAAGATCTTAGGATTACACAAGTTAAAGGTAAACGAAAAATGTTTTCTTTCATTTTTATTTTTTAAATTTAATTAATTATAAAAAAATTTAAGAAGGTCTTAGGGTTACACAAGTTAAAAATAATCAATTAATGTTTTCTTTCAATTTTTATTTTTCATTTTTTTTAATTAATTACAAAAAAAATTTAAGAAGGTCTTAGAATTACACAAGCTAAAAATAATCAATTAATGTTTTCTTTTATTTTTTTTAATTTTTTTAAAAATCAAATATGAAATTTAAAAAGATCTTAGGTTTACGCAAGTTAAAGGTAATCAATTAATGTTTTCTTTCAATTTTTATTTTTAATTTTTTTTAATTAATTACAAAAAAAATTTAAGAAGGTCTTAGGGTTACACAAGTTAAAGATAATCAATTAATGTTTTCTTTTATTTTTTTTAATTTTTTTTAAAATTAAATATGAAATTTAAAAAGATCTTAGGATTACGCGTGTTAAGGTAATCGAAGAACGTTTTCTTACATTTTTTTTTTTTTGGAAATTTTCTTTGAACACCTGCCATTGGTTATCAATCACTCATCAATTGAAATAATTATTATCATAAACCGTTTATTTTTAAATTGAAATTCACGATGACGATTTTTCCAACAACAAACGTTTGTTTCACACATAAAACAAATCAAACCTTAAATTTTTTTTTTTTTTAGGGAGAGGGGGGCCTAATATTGTCATCCTACAAATTTTTTTTTTAAAAACAAACAAACACAATTTTTTTTTCCTTTTTCTTTTTCTTTTTTAAGTATTTAAATGTTTTGCTGTTTTTAATAAGAAAAACTTTTCCAAAAAGTTTACAATTGTAAATAATAATAATAATAATAATAATTTAAAAAGTTTTTCGATTAAAAAAAAAAGGGAAAAAAGTTTTGCTTGCTAATTTATCTGTCATTTAAATAAATAAAGTGTTTTTTTTTATTTTTAATTAAATGAATATTTATATATATATTTATTATAAAATATTTTTTTGTTTTATGTATATACACTTCAATAATTTTTCCGTTTTATTATTATTATTATTTTTAGCAATAATGAAAATTTATTGTTGTCATGCAATGTTGGAAAATCACGATATCCGTTTTCAAAAAAAAAAAAGAAAGAGGAAAAAAAAAAAATTAATTTTATTGGATAACACAAACACAAACATACACGAAACACACACACACGACAAACACACAACAAACACACATATTTTGCTTATATATATATATAAAAAAAACATTTGTAAAAATTTAACATACACACAAGCAAGCACACACACACACACGCGAGATTTTTTTTTTAAAAAAATGTTTTGAGAAAAAAAAATTTTTTTAGAATGCCACCAGACACAAATGCAGAAGAAGAAGAAAAGCCAAAATGGGAAAATGTTGTCATTGATCAACCGGAATTAAAAAAAGCTAAAATATCTGGTATACCATATACGGGTTCGGAAGGTTCTCTCGTACCATCACAATCATCAGATTTCGAATGGAATTCAATTGATATAGCAAAAGCAGGAGATTTACTTTTATTACCACCTGATAAAACTCCAGATTTTCAAGATGAAGAAGAGATGAGAAGAATATTTTCATTGATTTACGATGTTTTCCGTTGTAAGGAAAAAAAAAAAAATCCTTTTGTATCTACCCCTGCCCCCTCACTCTACCCCTATCCCTACCACCCCCCGTTTGTAAACAGGAAAATGACGTCATCATTATTTTTTTTCTTTTGTAGATAAATGTATTTTATGTAAAGCACTTGAAGAAATTAATTTTTTTCAAAAATATCCAGAGGTAAAGGTTGTTGTTGCTGTTATTATTTTTCAAACTTTTTTTTCATTATCCAACTGGAATATTTTTCCAGCATGAAAATAATAAAAGTTTAGTTTGGCTTTTGTTTTACGATTTATACAAGAGAAGATTTCTTCCGAGAGTTCACGCTGATGTTTTAATATCATCTGAAGTTTTTGAAAAACTCGGCCTTGATATCGTTGAAAAAAATCTTTGGAATTCCAGAGTACGCTAATAAATAATACTCTTTTCTATTATTATTATTTTTAACATTAATGATTTTTTTTTTCTTATTTTAGGTAAAATTAGCAGCATCATTAGCTAGGTTAAGAATTAAAAATAATGCATTAAGATTAAATCAATTATTACCTCTACATTTAAGAGATGAAAGATTTGTTTCAATTGATAGTAGTCCAGTTACCGGTTGGCTAAATACTTTTAAAAAAAGGTTTTTCATTATTGTTTGTCTTAACCACCCTCCCCACAACCCCCCGGTGATGATGATGAATGTGTTCGTTCGTTTACAGTAAGAAAGAAATATGTGATAACATAGAAAAATTAGGTTTTCGTCTGCAAAACAAACACGAAACCGTTTTGACTAAAAACGATTTTCGATTCGATAATTTATGTCCGAAAGTACTTTTATGTCATCCGATACAAAGACCAGAACTTGCACAATCATCTCTTATTAAAAATTACAGCATCATTTTACAGGTAAAAATTAATTTATTTATAAGAGTGTGTCGTTTGTCAGGTTTGTCATTTCCATCGTATTTCTCTTTTAGGATAGAGCTTTTTGTATTGGACCTGCATTACTGGGTAAAGTATTAACGGAAAATCCTCTTCGTGGTACCATAGCTCAAACGCACGTCAACACTCCAAGAGCTACAGCATATTTAGCAAATATAATAGTTGATAATGACAGATTGGAAAAATTAGTAGCGTTCGGAGCTGGAGATAAGTAAGGATTTTTTATTTTACTTTTGGGTTAGCAACTAAGTAATTGCGGATTTCATTAACAAATAGTTTGTAAATTTTTTTGAGTACGTTTACATCTTTGGACAGACAAAAATTTTTGATAGGTTATTATATGGTTCCTCCTCTAACATTCAGTATCCACATTTCATTGAACTGTTAAACTGTGGGTGAGCAAAAGACATTTAAACATGGGGAGCCATAGCGAGCATTTCCTCCACATTTTCCCCTTTTATTTTCCAAGGGATGCTAATGCTTCACGAGCTCATAAAAAGTTATGGGCTGTGTAGGGTGATGATGTCTTAATAGAACGGCAGGTTCGTAAAATTCCGTTCTGGAGATTTTTCTTTGAAAAATGAGGAGCGCTCTGGGTGTCCAGTGGAGGTCGATGATGACCAATTAAAGGCCCTCATTGATTATGATCAGTTTGACATAGGGCATTGTAGAGAAGCTAGATTCGTCACATAAGTGCGTCCAAAACCGTCTGCGGTGTCTTGAGTACCAAAAGAAGCTTGGTGCACAACCCTGGGGAGTGGGAGTTAGCGAAACGACTTGATCTTTGCGATATGCTTCTTAAGCGAATGACTATTTTTCGAAAGAATGGGCACCGAAAATAAAACGTTGTGGGTTATGTAAAGCAACGTTTTGAGGAAAAGATCCTGGCCTAGGCAAGGGAAACAGGCACCAAAAACTTCTAAGGCTAACATTCACCAAAAAAAGGTGCTGTTATCATTTTGGTGGGATTACAAAGGCATAGTCTACTTTGAGCTGCTGCTGCCACGAAATCAGACCATAAATTCCACAATCGACTAATTTAAATAATGCCATCCAAGAAAAACGACCAAAGCTAGTCAATAGAAAAGGAATTGTTATTATTATCACCGTGATAATGCCAGGCTCCACACATCTTTAGCCACCAGACAAAAACTACTGGAGCTAGGCTGGAATGTTTTGCCTCACTTTCCTTATAGTCTCAACCTAGCTCTAAGTGATTATTATTTGTTCCAAAACGACAATTTGGTCAAAACTCCATTGGAGCAAATTTTTGCCCATAAAAATAAAGAGTTTATGAGAGTTAATGATAATGATAATCAAACGTTACAGGTTACTGGAATATCAAACGTACATACACGAATTGGGTATAAATAATTGTGAAATATACGCAGAAAGATTTGCGGATCTTCATCCGGAGGCAGCGGTTTTAGAAAATTTAGTTGCCGTTTTAGCAACTCCTCCAAATAGTTACACGGGTGTAACCGATCCGGTTGATTTAATATGTAGTCGAGGTGGCGATATGGATATGTTAAAAGGACTCACACAAACGGAAATAAAAGAAAATTCATTAGGTTATTTACAAGAGCAAAAAGAAACGCTTAAATATTGCATGTCACTACCCCAGGTACTTAATACCCGCGATCGATAGTTTTATGTCCTATATAAGAAAACAAGTAAAATGTAAAATTGAATTACAGGTACAGATAATTTTATACGAAACGCATTCAATATCACCACAAGAAAATTTTGAAATGGTGAGTAACGTTATTGAAACAATGAATGGATTAGCAAAAGAAAAACACGAAGAAGAACATAGATTGGCTCTTGAAAAAGAAGAAGGTAAGGGAATAAAATTAATTTTTTTTAGTAATGAAAAATAATAATAATAAAATTTTTCCAGCCGAAGAAAAAATGAATAAACCTGTTTTCATACCTGGTAAACCATCATCGAGAGAACAAAAAGATAAAGAAAATCAAGAAGTTAAAATATCCGTTCTTCCAGTTGAAATCGAAGTAATTGTTTTTCCAGTTTTTTTCTATTTTCCATTACGATGGAAATTTTTTTTTTTTTATTGAAATTTTAGGTACCTCCTTGTGATTTATTCGAAGTTGCTCCACTTCCGGAATTTTACAATCACGGTAGCACGTGTTTTTCCGAAGAAGGTTGTTTTATAGCTAAAATTCAAAGAAAGGTAAAATTTTCTATTTTTTTATTTTTTTGTATTGAATTCCTTTTATCGTCACTCAGATTAATTTTACTTTAGGAAATAATTAGTTTAGACGCGAAATACATGATAAAAATAGCAGAAGCAAGAGGTTTGTTTGGTTCAGAAATGGGAAAGAAAAAACCAACGGGTATGAAAATACAAAAAAAACAAGAAAAACGAAGACATTCATCAGCAAAAATTAAAAATAAAAAAGCAAAGGTTCGCATGTTTTCTTTTGACAAAGGGAGAAAGAGAGAGAGAAAACCCTCCATCGCAATAATAATGATGATACAAATCATGTAATTTTTTCAACAGCTGGAAATAGACAGATTGGCGGCTCCGACACAATCAACAATAATAAAATCTAAAAGAGAATCTTCTCCGATAATTTGGTCAAAACAATCATCATGTCCACGTCACGAATCACATTCATCGGATACCGAAAGCAAAGTAATTAAATCTAGGAAAAAATTATTAAAAATATGGTGGCAGGAAACATATAAATTAGTATTGAAAAAATTATTACATAAAAAGAAAAAAAATGCAAAATCAAAGGGGGGCGTAGGAGGAGTAGGAGGTTCATCATCAAATGTTAGAATACCACGACTTAAATTACCCCGACACGATAAGAGACAAAGGAAACAACAACCTTTTCCTTTACGTAAAGCCATCATAGATTTCGAAACTCCTAACGAAACTCTTATTATCGATTACATACTTAACACTTTTGATAATTATCAGGATGATGTTTACGTCATCGTTTAATTCTCTTACTCCAACAGTAATCTAACCTCTTATTCACTTATAATAACTCTCGAACCGATTTATATACACACCCCCTCCTCAATCACAAAACAAAATGACGGCGACCTCCTCTAAGTTATATAAAAATTATGTATTAATAATTAGGCTTATAAATATATATAAATAAGTTTTAATAAGTTTAAAAAAAAATTATTTTATTTGCATTTCCGTTTCCTATCATCACCATTTTTTTTTTTGTTTTCTTGTCACTTTACAGGTAAACAACATCAACGTTGATAATAAAAATTATTTAATACCTAAATTGGTGGATAGAAAAAATTCAAGGTGAGATTTATTATTAAAAATTAATCCATTAGATTATCCGTTGTCTAATTATCATCATTATTATTATTTAATCCATGCATATGCTATATGCTATGGTAGAAGAAAATTATTTTTTTTATAATTAGGGTATATCAAATGGGATCATCATCCTTGAAAACGGGAACCAAATCATCATCGCCATCTTACTCTTATGAGCAAAAACAGAATTCAAACATGTTATGCTATGCAGTTTTTGGATAACATTTTTTTAATAAAAAAAAAAATCTTACTCGTCATTTATTATTATTATTATTATTATTATTATTATTATTATGTTATATTAGACGAATAAAATTTATGGAGTATTTAAAAAAAAAAAAAAAAAAAAATTTTTGTATTAACTTTTTAGTCTGACAAGGGAAATAATAATAATAATAATAATAATGATAATAATAAAATTAATTCGTTTGTTTTATTAATGTGTGTTGTTATTGAGTCAAAGTGAAAATTAGAATCCTATTGTTCCAGATCAAAGAAAAGTCAGGATGAAAGTGTTAGAAGGTTATCAAAGCCGACACCGAGAAGATTAACGAATCAAGATAATTTTTCTGTAAGTAATAATAATAATATTAAAAGTTATGAAGTTTGATTGATTTTTTTTTTATTTTTAGAGTGAGATAAAAGCAAGATTTTGGAGATACGCAACGGCCAAATCCGTTGAAGATTTGATAAGAGCATTGAAGAAAAAAAGAAAAGGGAAAAGATTATTCAAAGTCGAAGATTATTTCTTTTTTAAAGATGAAGATTTATATATACCAGAGTCGTCGCAAAAGAGAATTTTTTTAACTAATTCAGGTGAAATTAATTTTTTTCAAAATAATTTGAAATGTACGCAAGACGTTGTTATTTAAATATAAATAAGAAAAATAATTTTTTTTTTTTTTTTCTAAAATATTATTAATAATAATAATAATAATAAATAAAATCTTTTTGTTTTGTTATTGATTTGATTCCTTTATCCTTTGACTATTGATCCGATTATAATCCATTAATAATCCATTTTAATAAATTAATAAATTAATTAATAAAACTTGCAAAAAAAAAAATTTTTTTTATCATTTCCTTTCCTGTAATTGTATAGTATTTGATTGTTTTGGGATTTTAAAAAAAATAAGTTTAGAAATTATTTTTTATTTTCAAATCGGATATAACATTTTAGGAGAAAAAATCGAAGAAGTTTTCGAAAACCAAACAATTGAACAAGATCAACAGAAATTAATTGGGAAAAATAAAAAATCATTTATAACGACAATGGCGGCGTCGGCGGCGGCGGTGGCAAACGATACAACATTAATTCCCGATTTTGAAATAATAAAACCTTATAAAAATAAAGATGTCCTCCGGATAACATCCTACGGTGCCGTTTCTGATAAATCTTTACCATCTCCTGCCCTGTCTGCATCGATCAATAGCACTTATAATAATTTCGACGTCCATGATGGATTTGGTGCCTTTCAAAAATGCATCGATAGTGCTAGTGTGATATTTAAAAAAATCGACGAAGTCGTCGAGGAAAATAAAATCATTGGTGAAAAGAAAAAAATTAAAAATATATCTGAAATACAAAATGAAATTTTCAATCCGGAAAAAAAATTTAAAAATAAAAGTTTTAGTCCATTGGAGGTATGCGACAAACCCATTTGTTGCAACAACAAAAAAAATGGAGTTCAATGTTGTTAATAATTTAAATTTATTTTTCAGGCTCTTTCGAGAATCGAAGAAATCAATAACATAATAGATATAAAAGAGCCTCAAAGACAAGACATCATATTATCAGCCAAATATATTTCTGGTCCTCAAATATCATCTCAGGACAAAAAATTCATACAAACTCTTCAAAACAAATTGGAAAAACTTCAGCAAACTTATAAGAATTCATGTAAACAAAGGCGACCTTCCCAAGAAAGAATAAGAAAACTCAGCACACCAAAAGGTAAATTTAATTCAAATCAATAACCTACAAAAATTTATTTAATTATTATTATTATTATTATTTCACAAGGGAGGCAATCAATGAAATGTGTTTGTTTGTTTGTGTGTAAGTAAATGTGTAAGTTGTTTTTGTAACAAAAAAAAGTTGTTGATAATTTTGTTAAATTTTTGGCATTTTTTTTTCGAGACACAATCATTAAATAAAGAAAAACATTTTTTCCAAATGAAATTGTTATTAATTTTTTTTTTTTTGAATACTTTCAAAGTATTTGAAAGATAAAAACAGAGACCAACAAACAGATAAAATTATTATTTACAGTTATCAATTATCCTCATTCCGATAAGAGCCAGAATTTATTCTTTGTTTAAATTTGTTATTAAAAAAAAAAAAAAATACTTTTCAATTATTATTTAATTACTGTGATTTTTTAAAATACTTTGAATATTTTTCAACAAAACTATCTGCTAAATGTTTGTAAGGATTTTGTTTTTCTAAAGGAGTGATAGGAATTCTCAACAGTCGTCTAACTTTAGGAGATAAAAGTAGTAGATGTTGAGCGATGCTGCAAAGTATTGATACACTCCAATATAAAGATAAGCCCTGAAAAATGAAAAAAATTAGCCAAGTTATTAAATATTAAAGGATCATATTTATAACCATGAGAAAAATAATAAAAAAAAATTACACTGGGTACGATTGCACCGACAATCAAAAAGAGTACTGCAGAAAATCTAAATATAGTAGAAAACACCTTTAAAAAAAAACTTGTAGGTTTTCTACCAATTGATAATTGTATCAAATCTTGAAATAAATATGTTGAAAGAAATAATGTTACTGGTAAAATAAAATATGGATCAGGTTGAATAAGATTACTGTTCCAAAACAATCCTTCCGTTTGTAACTGTAAATATGTCATAGGAGAAACTAAAAGAAAAAATTTGATTTAGCATAATTGGTTTTTTGATAAACTCTTGATTTGATTGTAATTTACTACAGGAAATTAGTAGAGTGTGGTATTTTTACCTAAATCTTTTTCACATAAACTTCTGATAGAAAATGAAAGTAGGATCCAAGGAGGAAGATGAGCCCATGTTAAAATAACCAATTTAAATGGATGGCAATTGTTTTTTACAACTAAATCTGACCAAATCATTTTTTGCTGAAAAAATAAACATTGTCAGGTTTAACAAATTTTTTTTTTTAAACTCATTTATAAGATAATATTTTTTTAAATGTAAATTTACAAACTTGAGTAATGAAAGCTCTTTGTTTTTTCATATCGCTCCACTTTCCTCTTCTTGCCATAAGTGATAGTTCAGATTCTAATTTTTTACATATTATACTATGTTGCATTTTGGTAAGATTTATTTTTGCTATTATATGTTGCTAGAAAAAATTAATGTAATTAAAATAATAAGTAACGGTTAAAAAAATTGTTTTAGAAAATAAAATTACTTGAAAAACCCCTATGGGTAATCCTATAACCAATTTCATACCGGCAGTTACTAAAAGAATTTCACTCCACCAGGGTAACCCGCTCATGTCATGTAATTCAATTAAAAAGTTTTTGATAGCCACGGTGGGTGCATTTGTTGTAACAAAATTATGAATGTTAGTATTTAATTCTTGAAAGTATTCAGATGAAAAATTTCTACTTTGTTGAAACTGACAACATAATTGACCGACTGGCAATTCTTTTTTTAAAATTTTACAACTAAAACCATTATGTTTTTGATTGAGTAAATGAGAATTTTTGTACGTATTCCCTAAATTTGAAATTAATGATACTTGTTTTGAAATTAATATTTTTTGCAAACACTTGGACATTTTTAAAAAAATATTTCAAATTAGTTTAATTACTCTATGATTTTAAATCAATTCAGGCAGTTTTTTGAAACCGTATATGATGTACCCTCTATAAAATGGCGGAATTGTAATTTATGTTTGAAGTTGGCATAATTATTATTCGTAATTACTATTTAAAGAAAGTATTGTATGTAAACTTTTGAATAAAATCATGGGCTTGAGTTTGGGTGCATATTTGTTGCATCCTGTTACGGATAAACATTCTTCAGACGAGGAAAATGGGAAAATTATATATGGTGTGAGCTCAATGCAGGGATGGAGGGAAACACAAGAAGTATGTATTGCTAAAAAAAATTATGAAATTCCTTACTCCATTTTGTAAAAAAAGAAAAAAAACATTTGCTTAATCAAAAATGTTTGTTAAACAATATCTTAAACCACATATACACGCATATGTACATGTATGCAAATAGCTACTGAAACCACCTACTTGTTAAATTTTATTTTTTAGTAGGATATTTTATTTTTACTTTCTAATAATATCTTACGTTTCTTCTTAGGATGCTCACAACTGCTTATTAGACTTTGATTCAGATGCTTCATTATTTGCGGTGTACGATGGGCATGGTGGTAATGAAGTATCAGAGTATACATCTCTACATTTACCAAATTTCATTAAAGAAAATGAGTTTTATAAAAAAGGTGACTTTGAAAAAGCATTAAAGGAGTCTTTTGTAAAGTTTGACTGCACATTAAAAGAACCTGAAGTGGTTGAACTTTTACAAAAGCTTGCCAAGTATAATGAATACAATAATGATGATGAATCCGAGTCTGAGGATGAAAACTTGGGTAGTTTAAAGGAGGAAGCGCAAATGGCAATCGAAGATGTTATGGCTAAATATGTTTTAAATCGTAAAGAAAATGAAAAGACTAATAATTCCGAAGCCACACAGTCTAGTAGTAATAAAGTTTTATCAAATGATTCAGTAAGGTGCAGTGAAGTAAGTTCTAATGAAACGGAATGTAGTTCTAGTAAATCGAATACAAGCTTCAATGAATCAGAATCTGAAGTGTCAAGTTCATCATCATCTTGTGCAGTTTCGAGAAAAAGTTTAAGTGAAAAATATAACTGTGTTGACAAAATTAAAAAGCCATTGCTTGATTCAACTTCAAATGGGTCAATAAAATCAAACAAGGGTGAAAATAGTAAGATTGACACTTCCGGTAGTGGTGAATCAAATGTTACACCGAGCAAAGTTCAAACTGAATCAAATAACAGTTCCAATAAAGAAGAAATTGTAAAATCAACTAGTTCAGAAGTAGTAGATAATACTAGTAAATCAAGCTGTAATGGTAAATTTAAAAATAGTACAGTCGAAAATACTATAAGTTCATCTGTGGAAAACGGTGAATCGAATGAACCAAAAAAATCAGGTAAAGGTAAAGCATTAGTTAAGCATCAGCCTAAGGCCAATGTTGAAAAAAATCAAGACTCCCCAGAAAAACTTTTCCAGAAGTTTATACATTCAGGTAAATTTTTTTTTTTTTTTTACAAATATGTACATAATTTTATTTTTTATAATTTCTAATTTTTTACTCTTTCAACTCTTAGATGTTAATGAAGAAATGAGCGAAAGTGATAGTGATGATGTATCTTTTAATGGTCCAGAAAGTCGTAGTGATGATGATGATGATGATGATGATAATGAGGTTGATGAGGATGATGATGATGACGACGAAGAAGAAGTAAGTAAAGGAGATGATGACGAGGACGATGAAAAAGATGATGATGATGAAAACGATGGGGATGACGATGGAGATTATGATGATGATGATGAAATAGATCGTTGTTTTATGGAAGTAAGATTAAGCCAAGATTTAATTGTGAAAAACTTCAATTTCCTGGATAAAAAAAATAAAAGAAAATAATTTTTTGTTTTTCCAGCCTGGATCGGAAAGCGGTTGTACGGCTCTCGTGGCATTGATTAAAAATAATAAAATTTACGTCGCAAATGCTGGAGATTGCAGATGCGTGGTATCAAAAAATGGCGAAGCCGTAGAATTAAGTATAGATCACAAACCGGAAAACGATATCGAATTAAAACGAATAGAAAAAGCTGGAGGAAGGGTCAGCGCTGGAAGAGTCAACGACGGTTTAAATTTATCAAGAGCATTAGGTAAAATTTTTCACGGATCTTTTTGCTTTCCAAAAAACAATTTCGCGCCTTTTTGTTTTTTTTTCAAAATGTCATCACCCATGGTTTTTCCAATTAATAGGTGATCACGTGTACAAGCGTACGGCAGATTTGCCACCGGAAGAACAAATGATTTCTCCATTACCAGACATTCAAATAATAGATTTAGAACCGGATATAGAATTTATGGTTTTAGCTTGCGATGGAATATGGAATTCAATGTCTAGTAAAGAAGTTGTAGATTTTGTTAGACCGAGGCTTATCGAGAAAAATGAAAAAGTGTCGAAAATTTGCGAAGAAGTAAAAATATTTAATTTAGTTTTGTTTGTTTGTTTGTTTGGAGTTTTTTCATTTAGAGATTTATATTTTTTTTAAAGATGTTCGATCATTGTTTGGCTCCGAACACTCTTTGCGATGGAACGGGTTGCGATAACATGACAGCCATTATAGTACAATTTAAAGAATCGACATTTTTTAAATGTAAAAAACGTCATTTGGAGGTTGTTGATAGCGAATCGGAAATATCAGCGAAAAAAACAAAGACTGAAGATGTGTCCTCAACTGATTCGATAGGTACAACAATCAGTCAATCGAACGATACCTGTTTTCAAGAAAAATCATCATCTAATTCTCCAGATACAACTCAGTAAATTTAAAAAAGAAAAAAATTTCAATTCATTTTTATGAGTTCCTTTTTTTTATTAGCATTATTTTTTTTTTTTTAATTTTCATTTTGTAAGATTTTTTTTTTTTACATAAATTGTGTTTTTCATAGCATTTTATTTATTTATTTGTTTGAAAAGTATGATGACGTATTGCAGTAAACAAAAAAATTATCATTGATGTTTTGTAGTACAGTAGAAAACGAAAAAATGTCTGTTTCCCAAAAGAAAAAAGAAAACTGCAAAAATTTTCATTAATATATACATAAATTTAAAAAAAAAACAAAATGATTACTTGCCTTTTAATTTCTTCTGAGATTGGGCTTTGCTATCATAAGTTGCAAGTTGCCCTTCATCCAATATCTCGTTTTCTTTATTTTCTTTGACGATTTGTTTTGCTCTTTTCAGTACTCCTTTTTTTGTAATTTTTTCTTCCGTATGTATAACTTGGGCTAAGATAGGGTCCTCTTGATGGGATTCTATGTATTTTCCCATTCCAATTATGGCATTCTGGTATGCCGCTTATTATTATTATTATTATTATAATGACGACAATGCGTCCTGATGTTTGTCGGAGCTTTTTCAACATATATTCCTGAGGTTTCTACCCTTCTACCTTTCCTCAGTGAAAAATTTGATCTTATGTATCAGAAAAACATAAGTCCAAGGAGGTATAAAGTAAAATAAAATAAAATTCAAACAATGGATTCCCGCTTAAAATAAAATGTGTGCCAGGTAAAATATACAAGGTCGTCCTACTTAGCGTAAACAGTAAACAAGGTCGACCTTGGTTGAAAAATCGTGACCATGAAAAATTTCACAAAATTGAATTTTAAAACTAATGGCCTTGTATTCAAGGTCGACCTACTTTAGAATAAATCGTAAACGTTGGATTTTCGCGCTCAAGGTCATTTTTAACTTAAAACATCGAAAATTTTTCTCCGATGTATCAGAAAAACATAAGATCCAAGGAGGTATAATAAAAAATAAAATGCGAAATTCGCAATATAATGCAAAATATAGCAAAATTTCGTTTTTTTACGTGTCAGGCAAACATAAAAAAATGAAAGTGTACTGAGTACACCTAAAATCAGGTATGGAGATTTGATTGGGGGGTGTATGGAGATTTTATATTCACTCGATACAATAAATAAATTAGTTACAAGTATTTTTAATATTTTTATTGGCAAAATATATTATAATGTAACAGGTTAACAAAAGAAAATGGAGGAATAAAATAATATACAATCAATAGATTCACATTTAAAACAGGAGTACAAAGATTTTATATCCACAAAATACTATAAATAAATTAGTTCCAAGTTTTTTTTATTGAATTAACTCTATTTCTTCTTTAGTATGACAAGATATTTAGCTCAACTTCTACTTATAATCAGCTCAGGAGATGTAACAATTATTAAATGGAGTCTGTTGTTCCTTTTCATAATTCCCTTCGCTAAAATCAATTATTATTATTATAGGTTACCAATTCCTCCTGACTTGATTCAGATAAAGACCTAAAACAATCAAAAATCAGAAAATTAAACCTTAAAGATTGATAGATTTAAAGTATAGAAATTTGATCAATACTTAAATCAATAATTAATAAATAATTTTATTAAATTACTCCAACTCTTGTTTTTTATTATGATAAAATCAGTTTTGTCAGTGTGTGGATTTGTTGGTCGTACAGAACCGTGCATGAACCCCTTGTCGCAACCGGGGTTGGTACCACTCCTTGGGTAATCCATCCATTCCATATTTTCGGCCAATGGAGATATTGACATATTTTATTGTGCCTTTCTAAGTATTCATGTTTTGCCAATTTTGGACAGCCGGAATTGTTTCCGACTGTGATTAACAAATTCGATACATATCGTCTTGGTGGACTTACAACCTTCTTTACATCAGCTTTTGAATGTGATGCCCATTCATAGTATTTTTCTTGTCCTTCGGTTCAGGTGCGTGATTTCTTCTTTTGTCCAGTCGACGAGGCCAAAACTGTATTCTATTACTGGAACTGCTAATGTGTCGATGGCGTTTAACTTATTTTTTCCATTCAGTTCCGACTGTAATATAAGCCTCGATCTTTTTTAATATTCTTTCTTCAATCACGGTTTAATTTCCTTGTTGGCTATCCCAAAATTTTCTTCAATCCCCAAATATTTGTATGTTGATCCAGGGTCCAGTACTTTAATAAGTTCTTCTTCAGGGTCTTCTATATTTTCCTTCCGTTTTAACTTTCCTCTGACAATATTAACTCTGGCACATTTTTCCAAACCAAATTTCATGTTGATGTCAAAGGAAAAAGTTTGTACCGTCCTTAACATTTTCTTCAATTCTTCTTCGCTCTTCGCATATATCTTCAGGTCATCCATGTACAATATATGGGTGTTTTTCCTGTCTCCCGGTACCAACTCATATCCTTGATCCTTGATATTAAACTGTCTGGACAGAGGAATTAAAGACATGCAAAATAAAAGTGGCGACAATGAATCTCCCTGAAAAATTCATCTTTTTATAAATATTTTCCTATAAGAGTATTTTTGCACTTCCAGTTGGGTGCACCAATTTTTCATACTCTTCTCGCAGAACGCTGTAATTTTAGGGTCTACTTTATATATTTTCAATGCCTCAATAATCCATTCGTGATGAGGTACACTATCAAAGACCTTTTGATAGTCAATCTATGCCATGCCTGAATTCTTCCTCTTTTGTTTTGCACTGGCCATGATCAATTTATTTATTAAAAAAACCTCCTTGCAACCATAAGACTCTTTTCTACATCCATATTGTTCAGGAGGAAAAATGTTATTCTTTCTCAGGTGCCCATAAATCTTTCCAGAAATAATAGCTGTTATTATTTTGTACATTGTAGGTAAACATGTAATCGGCCGAAAATCTTTCCGTTCCATAGCTCCTGATTTTTTTGACAACAAATACGTTTTTCCCGTTGTTTTATTATTATTATTATTATTATTATTTATGGGACTTTATTTTGTTGAAAAATAAAAAAAAATTAATTAATCATTCTGAAATATATTAATATCGTTATTAAAATTTTAAATAATTTACAATTTAATATTACTTATTTATTTTTAAACATGATATTTGTTTTATTATTATTATTATTATTATCATTGATTCGTTTTCCTTTGTTTTATTATGCTGGATATGAAAAATTCTCCAGCTTTGTACGAAGAGCGAACTAATGGACCACTAGCAGTATATAAAAATCCTAAATCGTTTCCTACTTGTTCCCAATGTTTAAATTTTTCTGGCGTTACGTATTCCACGACCTACAAAACAAAAAACCTTTTGTTCAGAATAATTTGTTCAGAATACATTTCAGAACCGTGTTTATCGATAAAGATATGAAAGATCGACCTGTAAATGTCTCTTCGTGGGCTGCATGTATTGGCCTAATGTCAGGCAGTCCACTCCGCAAGTTCTAAGATCTTTCATGGTTTCCATCACTTCATCATCGGTTTCTCCCAGACCTAACATTATCGATGACTTTGTTAATAAATCGGAGTTAAATTCTTTGGCTGATGATAACACGTCGAGAGATTGACGATATTTGGCTCTTCTATCTCTCACGTACGGTGTCAACTTTTCGACCGTTTCGATATTATGAGCGAAAACATCTAATTTCGAATTGACGATTGTTTCTACTTCTTTTCTACTTCCTTTGAAATCAGGTACTAAACATTCCACAATGATGTTGGGATTACTAAACAAAAAAAAAAACATGTCAGATTGAAAAACTATTTAAATAATGATAAATAAACATATGTTCACCAACCGTTTTTTAATTTCTCTAACAGTTTCTGCAAAATGATTGGAACCACCATCGGGTAAATCTAAATTTGATCAACAAAAAAAAAAAATTAATAAATGAAAGTTAATAAAGATTCGAATACAAATAATTTTATACCATCTCTATCTACTGAAGTCAACACAACATAATCCAAACCCCATTCTGCTATTGCAGAAGCTGTGTTAACAGGTTCGAGTGGATTTAAAGGTGGAGGAGCTCTTGAAGTTTTTACCGAACAAAATCTGCATCCTCTCGTACAAGTATCTCCCATTAGCTAAAAAGAAAAAATTTTTTTTTTGGTATATTACTTCATGAGAGAGAGAGAGAAAAATTATTACATGTGTTTTAATAAAATTTGCAATGCATACCATAATTGTAGCTGTGGCTGTGCCATATTTTCCACCTCCCCAACATTCTCCGATATTTGGACATCTTGCCTCTTCGCAAACGGTATGTAAATTAAGATTTCTCAATTGTGTTTTTAATTTGGAAAAATTTTCTCCTGTTGGAATTTTCGTTTTTAGCCATGGTGGTAACCTTAATCTTTTCAATTCTCCTTTTTCTTTTTTAAGGTCCCCTGTGTAATCGCTCCAATCTTTACTTTGTTGTTCTAAAAAGTGATCCAACTGTGGTCCTTCAGCAATTTTTTTTTTGAAACTTTCCGGCAATGTTTTAACTCCACATCTAACATCTAGAAATGTCGGAATGATTCCCTGGAAATAAAAAATTTTTTTAAATAGAATATTGAAATAAAGAAATATTTAAGGAGGTATATAAAGGTTATAACAAAATGAAAAAAAAAAAAAAACACTCATGTTTAAATTAAAATTAATTTATTTCAAAAAAATTTAAATGGTCAAAATTTAATTATTATTTTCACTTAAAGTTTTTTTTATCTACGTTTGTTCGATTTTTGAATTCTTTTTATTTTATTCTTATTCCGCCTTTTTATTTTAGACATCTTGTGAATGTAACGTTGATTCATCCATTTTGGATAACCTCCTAATTTTTTTATGTCATTTAACGTAACAACATCCATTTTCATAGCTTCACTTGGAAAAACGACACCGATCCTTTCATTTTCTTTTTTCGAATCAGATTTATTCTTTTCCTTTTTAAGACTGAATTCAATCACATTTCCTTCAACTGTACAATTTGCATCTTTTGGAACATCAGGCACTTCAACAACGTCCATTGCATTTTCGCTGCTATCTTTTTTTTCCTTAGTTTTATCAACAATACCTAGCGTTTGTTTTAACCTAGCCAATTCTTTTTCCGCATATCTAACTCTTTTAATTGCACGCAATTTTCTTTTTCTTTTAGATCTTATACTTTTAGCCATGTTTTATGTGTTAGGCAGTTGAGGTTAAGACCGAATCACAATGTGAATAAAACACAATTTAATCTTATAATCACACCATTTGAAATTCATTACAATATTGAGTTTTTAAGATTTTTTTTTTCTTTACTTAAAAAGATAAAAATTTTTTTTTATATCTTTTAACTTTTATCAAATTACGTAATAAAATAATAAAAAAATATTTTTCGATAAAAATAAATTAATGTTTTAAAGATGACGTTTAATTAATATTGAAATTAACTTACGTAAAAATCTAAATTTTTTTTTAATGGACAACCAAGAACGTAAAAATTTTTTACACTTGAAATCATTTCTTACATTTCAAAAATAATTTAAAATTTATAAAAAACTTTTATTTTCTTTTTATTAAAAAAAAAAAAAATTTAATAAATTGTACTTTGATATTAAGATAGGGGACAAAAATTAACTGTAAGGTCAATCATTTTTTAAAATTATATTCACAACGATTTAACTACATACCATAGAGCGTAATTTCACAGAGTGTAAACTAAGAGTTTAACGTTTTTATCGTTTTGTTTATTTACTCTGTGATAGATTTTGTTTACTTTTAATAATACAAAATGTCTACTTTTCTTCAAACGTCTTTAATTTTAATAATAAATTGATAAAAATAAAAACATATCGATCATTTATTATCATCATTATTATTATAATTAATTTTATTAAATAGGCAGCTCAACGGAAAATAAAAAAACATTCTTTTTTAAAAATAATAATAATAATCATTTAAAAACAAAATAAAAAATTTTTATAAATTTATATTTTTTTTCACTTTTTTTTTTTTTTTAAATAAAAAAAAAATCAAATTCATTTGTTTTTAAGTAAATACAAATTAATAATAATAAATAAAAGTAAAAAAAATATACGGCGATGATAAATCGTACAGGTTTATAAAGGTTGATTAATATTTTTTAAAAAAATTTGTTTTGTTTTCATCTAATTAAATTACAATTTGTCAACCTCACCGGACAAACAAACAAACAAACAAATAAAAAAAAATGAACACTTTTTCTTTTTATTTTAATTCTCATTTTTACAAATTATATTTTATATTAAAGTCGTTTTTTCTTTTTTCTTTTGAATCTCACTCAATAATTCCCATAAATATAGAAAATGGAAACGACCAAGGCAAAATAATAAAAAATAAAAATAAATTAATTATTATTATTATTATTATTTCATTTTTATATATAAAAAAAACAACAGGACAAAATAATATAAAACAATTTCTTTTATTATTATTATTATCATTTTACAATTCTTCTTACATTTAAATAAAAAAAAAAAAAAAATATTTTTTTCCTATTTTTTTTCTCTCTTATTATAAAACAAATGAAAAAATATTTAATAATAATAATAATTATAATAATAATAATATTAATTAAATATATAAATTTTAATTTAATTATACTATAATTTTATAATATATAATATATATATATATTTTTTTATTTTCAAAATAAAATATAAAAAAATTTCATCAAAAAAAAAAAAAGAAAAAAAGAAAAAATTTGAGATCCATTATCATCATCATCATCATCATCATCAATAATTATAATAATAATAATAATAATATATATTTAAAACTTGGTCGTCTCTTTTACCAATAATAATAATAATAAATTTTCTTTTCAATTTTAAATAAAAAAAAAAAAAGAAAAAATGAGCTCTGGAAAAATTAATTAATTAATTAATTAAAAAAAAACAACATGGCCGTCATAAATACTGTAAATAATATATAATTTAATAAATTTCATTATTATTATTATTATTATAAATAAATAAATATATATATATATATTTTGACGGATATTTATTCTTTTGTGTTACACACGATAAAAAAAAAGTAATGATAATAATAATAATTTATATATATATAATCAAGCTCTTTTATTGTTAAAATTTTGTTGCCATTTGTTCTTTTATTTATTTTGTTTTATGTGTCATAAATAAAAAATTTTCTTTCGTACTTGATCAATTGTCGAAAATTACCCCCAACCCTCCTCCTCCTCCTCCTCCTAGCCCCCCCAAAAAAAAAAGAAAAAAAATTTTGAGAAGATTGTGGTGAGTAAATATAAATTTTTTTTTTTTTACAATTAGGCACTCTCGGATAAAAATGTTTTAATTAATTAATTAATTTTATTACCATTTAAATTTTTGAACGTTATTTAATTTATACACAATATTTTTCTTCTGCTTTTCTTTGTATTACTACATAGTAATTAACTTAATATCTAAATAATAATAATAATAATAATAAATCTGTACAAAATACTTTTTTTTCTTTCTTTTTCTCTTTTTCTTTTCTTTGTAAATTATTATCATCATTATTTTTTTTCTTTTTCTTTACCAGTAATAATAATAATAATAATAATAATTTTCTTTTTCATTATTTTGTATATTTAAAAAAATCATTATTATTATTATTATTTTTTTTTTTATATATATACAAACATATATAATAATAATTTTTTTTTCTTTTTTTTTCTCCCTCATTTTTTATAATTTTAAATCGTTTTTTTTTTTTGTACGAATATTGCAACTTTTTTTTTTTTTATTGGCATATGGCGGTCGGTTTTGAAAATCGTCGTCGTCTGCTCAAAATAATAATAATAATTAAAAAAAAAAAAAAAAAAAACGAATGCGTTTGTTTCAGCACTGGTCGATTTAAAGCATTTTCCTAATTTTTCTTTTATTAAACGGAAATTTTTTTTTTTTTTTTTATTTTCTCACTCTCGAACACAAAAAGAACTTTCTAGAATATATTTTTCACACGGCAGCATTCCCCCTCCCCCTCACCCACGTGTAAGTGAGTGTGCGTTTGTGCGCGTAAGAATATTTTCCCCTTAATTTTTTTTTCCAATAAAAAAAAATTTTTTAATCGTACAAGTAATTTCCTTCGTTCGTTCGTTTGTTTGTTTGTTTGTTTATCCGTTTGTTTTGTTTTTAGATAGTGATTTAATAATAACAAGAAAAAAGTCTCTAATAATAATTATAATAATAATAATAATATTTGTTTACTACGAATGTCACGGTTGTAAAAAAAAAAAAAAATTCATTAGAATTTTACAATAATTGTAAAAAAATCGCGTTTCGTCAGAAATCCTTTCCAACAAACAAACAAACAAACATAGAATGCTGCCGCAGTTCATCCATTTTTTTTCTTTTTTAAACATATAAAAAAAAAATAAAACAACAACCTTTCATTTAAATAAATAATAAAATTTCATTTTCAAAAAATAAATAATAGTAATAATAGTAATAATAATAATAAAATGTCAATTAATTATATACGGGTGATCTCATTAATTAATTATCATTATTATTTATATATTTAAAAAAAAGATGGCCGCCGATAGCAACAAATGTAATCACAGTAGTAAAAAAATAATTTCAATATGGTTTTGCACTGTTTCCTTCCCCCCCCATTCCCTCCCTCCCTTCATCCATTTTAATACTCGTGGCCGTACACGAGTTCATGTATGTATGTATGTATATATATATATTAAATTGTATACCACGTGTGCACGTGCGTAAAAAAAAAAAAAAACTTTTTTTTTTCATTTGTTTTAGTCTCTAACTAGCCTATAAATATGATGTTGAGCTCCGTGTTCGGACGTTGAAACTTCAAACACGTAAGCCGTGCATAAAAGAGTTTCCTGATTTTCTCTATTCGTAACCACCTGCATTAAAAAAAAGAAAAAAAAATTTTCTTTGTGTGAAAAACGAACGTTATTGAGGAACAACAAACAACAACAAACAAACAAACGACAACAACAACAAAACTTTTACCCAAAAAAAACCGAACATTTTGTTTCCCCGCCCTCCCCTTCGCTCCAGGCCGCCGAAGCCCCGCCCCCGGACCCCGGCCGCCGCCGCCGCAACGTAAAAAAACTCACCTGGAGTATGGTGAAATTTTCAAGGACACTGTTCATCATATATTTCTCTGGTAAGTGTTTTAACTTATGTATAAAATTGATCATGTATTCGCACATGGGAGATCTGTGAATTCTGTACACGAAACGACCGTTTTCGAACCTTGCATATTCCGTTTCGACCTTTTCGACAACTTGTTTACCAAACGAACAAACTTTCGTTGAACACGTTATCGTCATGTTTTCATTACTCTCGTACCTGAAAAATAAAATAATAATAAATAAAAACCCGTTCGAACACACACACACACACACACACACACACACACACATGTTAAAATTAATCGTCGTATATAATTGCACTTAATACGTAATAACAATGATGATGATGATAATAATGTCATTGCACGTATTCGGACGAAATTGCACGCACGCACGCACACGCACACGCACACGCACACTATTACACAACAATATCGAGTTGAAATTTACCAAAGTAAAAAAAAAAAAAATTTTTTCTTCCTTTTCTACCGTGATTCACTCACATAAACCCCAAAAAAAAAAATTAAATTACGTAATCGAATTTACAAACTTCTAATTAATTATCATTATTATGTTCGAGTTAAAACAAGAGTGAGGAGGGAGGGAGAGGAGGGGAGGGTGTTGTTGTTACCTGATTATGATAAATATTCAATTACTTTTTCTATCGTAAGGTTTCACGGACGAACGGGTATATTTAATTGTATTTTTACGAAAAAAAAAAAAAAAATTTTTTTTATACCACGTGACTTCAAATTAATATTATTACCTACGATTCTAAGTAGTAGTGATAATAATAATAATGATAATGATAATGATAATAGTAGTAGTAAAACTTAAGCTTGGATTTTAAAAGAAAGTATTAGAGTGAAAGGAAAAGAAAGGAAAGGAAATTGTGAAATGGATTAATATTCATTTTTAATTATTTAAAAAATTTTTCCTGTCGGTTTCACGCTCGCACGCACACTCGCACGCACACGCACGCACGCACAGTCGTAAAAATTTCCTAAAAGATAATTATAATATTCGGTTAATGAAAAAAAAAAAAAGGCAATAAAAAACTTTTCAATTCCAGGATTTATGCGAGTATCTGGAGAAAATAAATAAAACGTCAAATTCCGGGGAAAAAAAATAAATTACAAATATTTCTTTTCTTTTTGCAATTAGTATTATTAAAAAAAAAAAAAATGGCGGTCATGGCGGTTATGGCGGTTTTGTCACGCGCACTCTCGCACACAACCCGTTTAAACCGTGGGAACAAACTTTACGCACTTACGAACCTTTCACACTCCTTCTTAAATCCTCTTTTCATCATCATTATTATTATTATTGTCATGTTTTCTCATTGACGCGAGAGAGAAAATTTTCTTTTCGTGGTGATAATAATGATGATACTTACTGACTCGTGACTCCGTAGAACGCTCCCGTTTCGTCCTGGATGTTTGTATTGAGATCGGCCCAGAATTTGACGAGGAAAAAAGCACTCTGCGGACCCTTATCGTAAAGCTCTTTCAAACCCCCTTTTTTCTCCGGGAATTTATCGTATATTTGCCTAACGTCTACTGCTTCTAATAGTGGATCTGCATAAGTCGTAGAACCACCTATGTGTACGAATAGATGCTTGTGATACTGAAAATTCGAAAAACAAAAAATTATTAAAAAAAATTTTTTCTTCCCTTAAACGAAACTTTTCCAGAAAAAAAAAAAAAGAAATTACAGTGTCTGGATCTCTTTGTTGTTCCATAAAGGCGGAAAATTCTACGAGCCTTAATTTATGGGTAGCTATGGCTCGTCCTTCCCACGGCAACGTGGCAGGAGTTTGAAGACCGCTAGGAGTTATATCAGCACCACCGACCGTCGTGGCAGGTTTACCGGTCGTGTAAGGAGGCTGAGCGAATGGTTTCACACTACGACAAAAAAAATAAAAATTATTTAAATTAAAAATAACAAAAGAGAGAGAGAGAGAGAGAGAGAGAGAAAAGATAAGTGAGACGATCGTGTTCACAGAAGGGAAACTAATGGCAAAAAAAAAAATGAAAGATGATACCTGAACCGATAAAAATAATTTAGGCTACCTTTTTATTGATATCACGTTTCTTCATACCTTGACCGTATACAAAAAAAATATTATTTTCAGAGCTTTTACGAGTTCGATATATTAAAAATTTTAGTTATTTTCATCAAACAAACAAACAAACAAACGAACAAACAGACGTTTCCATCTTCCTCGTTTCGACTAATTAAAATTCTTTAACAATTTAACTACGACATCATCATCATCATCATCATCATCATCATCTGTGCAAACGTTTGTTTGATTTAAACTAACTTAAATGTCATGACTCAGATTGCGGTTATCAATATTTTGTCGTGAAAAACTAATGATGATAATGATGATGATTGATTTTAAAATAAATAAATAAATAAAGTGAAAACTTACTCTTGTGACGTTCCAGGTTGTAGTCCAGGCTGCCAGAACTGAAACAATAAAATATCTGTATTAAAAGGAAAAGACGTTTCAAGCCTACAATGCATTTCCCTTCCCTTACCCCTCCCCCTAACTTTAAACTAATTAATATATATTTCATTTTTCCCCCTCCCCCCTTTTCGAACGGAAATGGGAACGGGGGAGGAAAACAAACAAAAAAAAAAAAAAAATGATTGAACAAGATGGTTTCTGCGTCGCCATTAACTACTAAATCGTTTTTTTTTTATTCGCGTGATAGAAAGAGAGAGAAAGAGAGAGAGAGAGAGAGAGAGAGGGAAAAGGAATTTTCCCTATCCAATACATGTATGTGTGAGCGTGTTTGTGTTTGTATACGTACGTGTGTGTATTAAGATAACAACTAACCTTTGTTATCACTCTTTGTATTAACACAAAATTACCATTTTGATAAAAAGACCGGGGGGTGAGGTGGGGAGAGTGGGGGGTGTGGATGAATTTCCTCAACAACGAACAACCTCCATCGTTATCCCCCTTCGATATTTTTTATTTTATTTTTCTCCACGCTAATTATTAATTTAATTTTTTCTTTTTTTTTCGTGTCGTTTATAGTGACGAAAAACCATCAAAATTACACGGATGCGAAAGAAATAATAATAATAATAGCAATAATAATGATAAAGTTTCTCAGTTTTAAATCGTAAATCCTATTTTATAACTCTCTGCCCCCCCTGTTTCCCACCCCCTTCCCCCCACCTTCCATTTTTACCGTTTTTATGTCCTGTCAATTCCAGCAGTTAAAACTTTTCAGTTTAACGATTATAAATAAAAATAATTTAAAAGAAAAAAAAAAAAAGAAATTTTTCTGTCGTCGTAATAAAAAACAAAAAAAAAAAAAATGAAAATGAAAATGAAAATGAATTATAAAATTTTAAGCCCCAAATAATAATAATAATAATAGTGATGATAATAATAATAATGATGATAATAATGTACTTAAATGATTTCCAAAGTGGATCCCTTTTTTAAAACGTTTACATAAATAATATAATAAAAATTTAATTTTTGAACGCGAGAAGAAGAAAAAAGGCGAAGCAGAAGAAAACGAAGACGAAGCAGAAGATAAAGAAGAAGAAGCAGAAGAAAAAGAAAAAGAAGAAGGAGGAGGAGGAGGCAAAGAAAATTCAAGTATAAAAACAAAAAAACCTGAAAAAAATATAAATATGTATATATTGAGGTTTCGCGGTTAACTGTAAAGAGAGAGAAAGAGATAGATAGAGATAGAGACAGAGAGAGAGGCAGAGATAGAGAGAGACAGAGAGTAAGAGAGAGAGAGAGAGAGAGAGAGATAGTAAAACGGTTTCGTTTTTTTTTTAATAAAAACGTAAAGGAAATGAATTGGTTAATTAACATCAATGATTGGAATCGAAAAATTTTACTTTACTACTCGACCGTATTATTAATTCTTTTTTTTTTTTTTTTCGTTCGTTCTTTCTAATCACTGCTGCCACTTTGATATTGTCAAGTGTGTGTTTTATGTAGTTGAAAATATAAAAAAAATTCATTTGTTAAAAAAAAAAAAACAAATTCACAGTACAGTTTAGTAAAAGTAAATATTTCAAAAAAAAAAAAAAAAAAAAGAGCAGTAACATAAACTTACCGCCCCGGGATAGGAGACAGGTAGGGCCGCTTTCCCATGGAGGGCCGACGCAAAAACAATCTGGGCGGAGCTCATGCTGGACATGGTCTGCAATGCCTTTTCTTTGGCTGCATGGTCCTGGGAATGGGACAGAACAACCCATCAAACAAATCCCATTAACAAAAAAATAAATAAAAGCAACAAAAAAAAAAAAAAAATTTGGGGTACTATCTACGAAGAGTCATCTTAAATTCATGTGCGTACAAAAACAAAAAAGGGTAAAAATAAAAAATAAATATGAATAAATAAATAAATAAATAAATAAGAAAATAGTGTAAACAGGTAAGAAGAAAGGGGGAGTGGGCGCGGACGCGCGCGGAACCGTTACAAAAAAAATTTTCATTTCTTTATCAGGTTTTTATTATTTGACTTACGATTACTACTTACGACAAACACGCAAAAAAAAAAACCGTTTATAAAATTTTTAAATATTTATAAAAACCGATAAATATCATTTAGAGAAAACAACAACAACAACAACGACAATCACGACAACAACAACAACAATGGCGGAAAAAAAACAAACAATATTTAAACTTTATTTAAAAAATTCGAAATGTGTGACTTTTGTTGTTGTTGTTGTTGTTTTTGTTATTGTTTTCATTTAAAAATGTCCGAATGATAAAAATCGAATCAACACTACTCGATTAATCGAAATATATCGAAATATATCGAAATAAATCGATAAACAAATAAAAAAAAATGTTTGTAAAATTATTAACACGTATGGACCCGTCGTTAGATCTCACCGTCCATCCTCTTAATTATAACTATTTTTTTTTTTTTTTAAAGCAGAAGACGCGACTTTTAAATGTTTTGATATAAGGATTATTATTTAAATAAAAAGGAAACTTAAACAATACTGACTACCTTGAGTTTCGCTTGTATTTCCCTTAATTTTCTTCTCGCTAACACTTGAATATGAGAACTAACTTGTTTTCTTGTTCTCGTTTTTCCAGTCCGTAATTTTATATATCTTGCTATCAACTCGTTTCTCCCTGAAATCAATAAATAAATAAATAAGAAAAAAGTTAATAAAAAAAAAAAAAAAAACTTTTAAAATTTTCCATATCCGGTTTGTCCCAGGTTCTTCTCATTTTTCCCCCGTAAAGGAGTGACAGAGAGAGAGAGAGAGAGAGAGAGAAAGAGATAAAGAAAGAAAATTTGCCGTTAATGTTATAACGTTTCATTTTGTTTATTATGTTTTTCGTTCGCTTCGAAAATAATAATAATAATAATAATAATAAATGACAATAATCAGGTTCAGGTGTTTGACTGACGATTATTCATCATAACAACAATATTTATAATTAACTTTTTTTTTTTTTTTTTAACGTGCGCGTTCACAATGATAACCGTGAATAATTAAAAACTGTCGCCAGTAATCTGAGTAAGAACATTTCTTTAAAAAAAAAAAAAAAAAATGTCTGGCAGACATGTTTACTGATGTCTTTTTGATTCTCGCAATTGTCTCAATAAAACCACCTATTAAGAAAAAGTTTTTGAAGTTTTATTTATTTTTCCTCCCTCCTCCTCCCCCCCCCTCTCTCTCTCTCTCTCTGTTCCCCTTAAAAGAAAAAACCTTTGAAATTACTATCGAATACCTGGAAAATAATGATAATGATAATAATAATAATAATACTCCTTCTCGAAATGTTATTAAAATCCTCGTTTTAAACGTTAACGATTTTCGTAACGATATTTTTTTTTTTCGCGTCGTCCAAGAAATATGTGCGACACACGCACTAACACACACACACACACACACACACACACTCTCTCTCTCTTTTTTTTTTTTAAATTTCCCAAAAGCGCGGGAAAAAAATTTAACGTGGAAACCTATATATAATGTTTTCTAATAACAAACAAAATCATTTTATGTAAACATCGACTTTAATTTCATTTTTTCGTATTTAAATATTAATAATAATATTAATAATAATAATATTAATAATATTAATAATAATAATAATAATACTAATAATAATGATGATGATGATGATGATGATTTCGTTTTAATTTAATCACTTTTACAAAATCACAAAATTTTACTAATAAGAAATCCCTTTTCCTTTTTCTTCTCCCTCTCTCTCTCTCTCTCTTTCTTTCTTTGTTCTTATTTTCAAACGAGTTTTATAATAATAGATAAATCGACTATTCGATTATCGAATTCCCCCCTTCCCCTTTCCCTGTTTGAAAATTATTAATTATTAGATTCGAAATTTAATTTTTAAAAAGGAAAAATGTATTCATTAACAGTGATCGATATTTAAATCCTTCCTACTCTCAAAAATTAATAAAAAAAAAAAAAAAACTTTTGATGCTGGTAAAATTTATTTCTATTTCGAGGTTGTGTTGTAGTAGCAGCAGCAGTGGCAGTAGTAGCAGTGGCAGCAGAGAAAAAATCAGAAGAAATTAATCATTTTTTTATACACGCAAATCCACGATAAAAAAAAAAAAAAAAAAAAACAGCAATTCGCAAATCTTTTATTAAATGTTTATATATGTATATAGAGAGAGAGAATTCCTATTTTATTATTATTATTATCATTATCATTATTATTATTATTATTATCATCATTTAATTTTGCTCGTTTTATAATTGAAAAATAATGAATTCGACAAAAAGGAAATTGAGACTTAAAAATAATAATAATAATTTTCAAACAACTTGACCTACTATTTCCCATATTTTAAAACTTCTCTTTTATTTTCTAAAAACTAATTCATTTCCCTTCGACCTCTCTCTCTCTCTCTCGACTTTCCATCCTTCCTTCCTCTCTCTCTCTCTCTCCTTCTCTCTCTCTATTTTTCCCTCTTTTTTATTTTCATCTTCTCTGGAAAATTTCTCCCCCCCCCCCGAAGCGTTCGCCGTCTTTCATTTTCTTCCTCTTTTACACTCAAAACATCGACTTTCCCTTCTTCATCTATTCTCTCTCTTTCCTTGAAACAGCGCACTAATTGCACATTCTTGGCATAGTTTTCCCAAACCCTAAAAACTTCTCCCCTCCCCCCAGAAAAAAAAAAAAAAACTACTGCTACTTCTTCTTCTTTTGAAAACCCTCGCTTTTCCCTGTGAGATTTTTCATTCTCTTTAAACCTTCGGTGAATGAACCAAAAAGCTTCAGAGCTTTAATATATATAAAAAAAAATTTTCTTCCTCTTTTCTTTCCTTTTTTTTTTTTTTATTACTACACGGAAAGGGAAATCTTTTTTTTTCCTTCTTCAATGCAAGACAGTTTTCCTCCCTCCCTCTCTCTTTTTTTTTTATAAATATTACAAAAAAAAAAAAAAAGAAACGCCATCGAAATTATTAAATTAAATTTTTAAATAAATTAAAAAAAAAAAACTTCATTATTATTATTATTATTTTCACGGTTCGAATCGATAAAAATCCTTCGAAATAAATTTCAATTCGTATACACCTTATTTTTTATATTAATAATAATAATAATAATAATAATAATAATAATAACAATAATAATAATGATGATGATGATGATTTTCAAATCGACGCCATTGCCATCATCGCCGTTTTTTTTTCCCCTGGCGTTTTTGTAACAACAGCAAATAAAAATTTAAAAACTTTCACGTCGACGTAGTTGGCAGACCTGGATTTCAGCCAAGGACGAAAAAACGAAAAAAAAAAAAAATTTCATGGTAATTAATTACTGTTTACGCGAAAAATCCTTTACATCTGGTTGGTTGGCCAATTTAATAATTTACGATTGATTCCATTTTAATGTATCATCAACAAACGATAACCTTTAAATAATAATAATAATAATAATAATAATCCAAGACCCAAATTTTTGTTTTTCCCTTTCCCCTCTCCCTCCCTTCCTCCCATTCCGATTTCCATTTTGGCTCATATAGAGAAAACAAATCAGATGATCAATCTCCAAACGAACGTTAAAAATTAAAAAAGTGTAGAAAGACGAGAACCACGTGACCAATTTAAAACTTAACCGAATTATTAAAAAAGGCCCCCCTTTTTGGAGACCCCTAAAAAAAAAAAACTATTTATAGGAATAATAATAAAATCTGCGACATTTTTTTTTTTTTTTTTAAACGTAATATAATTATTATTATTTTCACTATGTCGTCGTCTGCTTCGAATAAATTTCTAACTTGGAAAACATTTACGTTTTCTTTCTTTTAAATCGTTCCCGCGAAATTCGTAATTAGATAAACATCATTATCATTATTATCGTGATTGTTTTTCTTATTAAAAAACTTTACGTTTCTTTTTCTTTTTTTTTACGAGAAAATTAAAATGAAAAATTTAAAAAGAAAAAAAAAGAAAAGTCCGAGGGGGGCCGAGTGGGGGGAATTCAATATTTATGAGCAGTCGTAAGAGAGGACGTCACTAGTGACGTCACCATAGCAACACCTAAAGACGTTTGTTTGACCGTAAGAAAGGGGGAAAACAAAAAAAAAAAATTTTTTTTTCTTTCTTTTTTATTTTTCCAGTGGTCACTTAAGAATAATAATAATAATAATAATAATAATAATAATAATAATAATAATAGAAATAAGTGAATTTTAATATAAGCAATTTTTGTCCTTTTTCCTGGGGGAGAGGGGAGAAAGGGGGGGGTATTTAAAAATATTCGTTTTTATATTGAAAAAAAAAAAAAAAAATGTGCAAAATATACTTCCTTCCTTCCTTTAAAACAAAAAAAAATCAAATTTTTTCTACTACGAAATAGCCCCCCCCCGAAAAAAAACGAAAAAAAAACGGGGGCGGGAGGAACGAGAAATGAAAAAAAAAAAAAAAAACGTGGAAAGTCAGGAGCACGAGAGCAACAGTGAACGAAAAAAAAAAGAAAAAAAATTAATAATAATAATAATATTATTATTATTATTCTTTTGTTCTTTCTAAACAAGTTAACAACTTGAGAAAAAAAAAAATTTATTTAAAATTAAAAAAAAAAAAAAAAGAAAAAATTATGGGAAAAGTAAAAAAAGGCAAAACAGCGTCAAAAAGTTTTTTTTTTTTTTTAAAAAAAGCAAAAAAGTACAAAGATAAAATAAAAAATAATAATAATAATGATACAAAAAAAGAAATGAAAATAAAAGAGAGAGAGAGAGAACCTGGGGGGGGGGGAGGAAAAAAAAATAAAAAAATAAACGAAAATTACTTTTCGCTTTTTTGGCTTTTTTTTTTTGCTTCAAGTTCTCCGCCCTTTGTTTTTATTTTTTTGCTCTCGTAAAGAATTTCGACGTGAAAAAAAATGAAAATGTTTACATTAAAAAAAAAAAATAATAATAATCGAAATCATTTTACGCCCTTCCCCTCCCCAATTTTTTACGCAACTCAACCACCACGTGCGTTTTCTCGTACGCGTCCGAATCTCTCCCTCCCTTCCTCCCCCCAAAAAAAACTTTTCCGATTAAATTTTCCTTTCAAAATTTACTTAAAATGTTTTTCTCGCGCGCGGAGGTAGGGGGTGGGGGCGGGATTTCACGTGACTCATCGTTTGCTATTAAACAAAATTTTCGTGTTCGTGTTTTTCCTTTGACGAACAAAAACAAAAAACAAAAAGGAGGGAAAACTTTTTCAAGAATAAAAATATCTATAAATATATAAAACAGGTGAATGCTTATTTACATCAAAAGAAAATCCCGCCAAAAAATTTAAACAATTTGAAAAAGAGAATTTATGTTTTATTCTTATGACACGACGAATTTAACCGGAAGTCTCGTGGTATTTATTATTATTATTAATGTGATTGATAGTTAATCGACACTCACCGTACATTTTCCCTTCGTCCGAAAGTATAATTTTCCTTCTTCCACAAGGCGGATAGATGGCAAGGGCTTCTTGAAAACTTTGTTCAATGTCGGGGCTCCAAACGCCCTCGGCATCGGCTGCTGATAAATCTTTATCGTCCTGAACAAATCGCAAGACGTACGGAAATGAAAATAAAATAAAAAGGGTTAAATATTATTTTTTTAATAGAATCGATAATAAATAAATAAATAAATAAATAAAAGAATAAATTATTAATCCCTTTCCCCATGCTTAGAACACATGACGTCACACTTACATCACTTACATCATCAATGTCCCCAACGTCTAGATTCTTCGTATCCGAGCCCGAGCCATTCGTATCGGCAGGTGGCCCGGTACTCGTAGAATTCCACGGTGAGGAAATTGTGCTGGCTAAGAGAGTTCCACCTGGAAGAAAAACAAAACAAAAAAAAAATTTTTTTAAATAGAAAGAACTCTCCGAGAGAGAGAAAGAAAGAAAGAAAAGCAGAAAATTATTATTATTATCAATTTCTCAAATCCCATAATAAAAAATCGCTAAACTCGTATAAAAATAATAATAATAATAATGACGATAACATTTTAAATCCTATCAAAGTGGTAGTCCTAACAAAAAAACAGGTGCATCGCCGCCACCATCACCACCACCACCATCGTTCGTCCATCTTCGTCATCATCATTTTAAGGTTTACCAACGTTTAGAACGAGATAGAACCAACCCTAATTTTACACGACTCCGACTCCTTTTTTTTTAAAAAATTACACGAAAATGCAAATGGCCGCGACAAAATGAAAATTCGTTTACGATCTTACAATCATTTGACTAATTATTCTTAATTTCGTACCAGTCGATTAGTATTAGTATTAAATGGTAAAAACCAACAAGTTGGCCACATTTAGGGCTCCGTGATGGTGGTGGGGGGGGATAAACAAACAATATAAACTCTTTTCCAACCGGATAATTAATTCTTCAAAAACAAAATAATAATAATAATAATAATACTTTTAACAGAACAAATTTGAACCGTTTAACGGTCAATTACGTTTTCTCAACTTAACTAATTCGTAAACAAAGATTTTAAATTTAAATTCGACACAAATTTTCCTTTTTTTCCTTTGAGGGAAAAAACGATTGGTAGCATTGACAAGGGTGTCCAACTTTAATCCTTTCGTTATTTAATAATAATTAAACACCATTTTTTTTTTTTATAAATATTTTCATTTCGACGACTTCGAATCGAAATTTAAAAAATTTGTTGTAAACTAAAAATAAATTAATTTATTTAAACAATAAATAAATGTAAAACAAAACAAAAGCTCAAACTTTAATAAATAAATTATGTATTTATTATCGGAATTAGTTTAATAAATTATCCCCCATTATTATTATTTTGATTCCGTCATTATATTTTCCCATTTGTAACAATCGGACCGACAAAGTTTTAAATATTTTCTCTCTCTCTCACTCTCTCACTCCCCCCCCCCTCTCTCTCTCTCTCTCTCTCTCTCTCTCCTTTTGAAACTATTGTCATCGTGTGTCATTTTATTAATTATTTATTATCGTATACAAAAAAAAAAAAAAATTTAAGAGAAGAAAACAAAACAAACAAAACAAAAAAATCTTTCGAGCAAATTTTAATTTCGCCCCCCCCCTCATTCTCCCCCTCCTCCCAATCCCCCCATCCATTCTGTTTTCGTTATTATATAAAACGATACATTTTGCTTCGAGTATTTTGAAAAAATTAATTTATTTAACCATCGATTCTAACTGGTTTACATAATTTATATCCGCCTACAACAATAACAATAACAATCAACAAAAACAAACAAACAAACAAAAACAAACAATGGAAAATATATAAATAAATACGATCGTTTATAAATTTTAAAAAATTTTTTATCAATGAGTACTTTTCTCTCTCTCTCTATCTTATCCGTTGGTCCAACAACAACAACAACCGTTGAAAAATATTTTTCACGTTTGTTCGTTTGTTTGTTTGTTTTTGCTTGTTTGCAAAGTAACATGAAGTTGAAAAGAAAGAAAGAAAAACGTTTAAAAAAAAAAAAAAAATTCTTATCGATTCGCATTAATCCTCAGGTACTAAGAAAAAATAATTTTGCAAATATTTAAACCTTTTTCCCTTCACTACAACCTGCGACTTCTTTTTTTTTTTTAACTGTAAATACAAGGAAAAAAAAACTATCATCATTATTATTATTATTTTTTCTTCGTTTACGCCCGTTGAATCTTTTTCATACTCAACAGGTAGAGAGAAAGAGAGAGAGAGAGAGAGAGAGAGAAAGAGAGAATGATTCATTGGAAGGGGGCCTAGTTTTTATGTTAATTTCTTTGAATGCCTCCTCATCTTCCTCCTCATCCTCCCCATTCTCCTCCTCTTCCTTTTCTTTCTTTTTTAAATTTTGTTCGACGTTAAATCGGCGCCCCTCATCCATCTACCTCGACCACAACAACAACAACAACAACAATTCGATTTACAACCATCATTATTATTATTATTCAACGCATTCACAAAAAACAAATCAATGGACAAATAAATTTTCGGCCGGTGTGAATTTTGTCTCAGTCAAAAGAAAATCCAAAGAAAATCATTTTTTTTTTTTTTTTTTTGATTTTCTTTTCTAAGGTTCAGGTTTCTTGTCTAAGGTTCAGCGTCCATTTTATTACTCGAAAAAAAATTTTTTTTTCCAGGCAAGTTTCTAAGAAGACATTTTATAAAGATTTGCAATGCGAACTTGTAAAGATGTTTTTTTTTTTTTTTTTTTACTCACCATTTACTCTTACTTCTTGTTCTTCTCGTATTCACAACGTACCTGAAAGGTGGTCGTGGTGGTGGTGGTGGCAGTGGCGGCGGCTGACAGGTTTACTAAAAAAAAAACCCGCCGCCGTTTTCATGATTCAAACTCCGCAACATGTTTAACTTACGGAAAAATCAAACGTATGTTTTTTTTATTTCAAACAAAAACATCTTCTCAGGTACACACACACACACACACACACACTCTCAGGCAGGCAGGCAACAACAACCAACCCGAGTATGAAAACCTAATAATAATAATAATAATAATAATAATGATTTTAAAATACATGTTTTTAACTTATTATTATTATTATTTTCTTTTTATTTCTTTTTCTTTCTCTTCGTTTATTTTTACGCACAAAACTTTTTTTTTTAAACTGGTAATAAAGCCCTTAACGACAACGTTTAAAACGTTAATAAACGTTCAATAAAATAACTTTTTTCTAAATTAATTAATTTCACAATACGATTAAGCGTACACGCACTCACACGCACACGCACACGCAAACAACAACAACATGGAAAAAGGAACAGAACAATAATTAACATTATACCTGAGGTTAATTTTCTTTCTTTCTATCGTAAAGGTTCGTGAAAGTAAAGAGTCACGGTGGAAACGTTTGTTTGTTTGTTCGTTCGTTCGTTTGTTTGTTTGTTAGAGTGGCAAAGTCACTCACTACCTTCCTTCCTTCCCTCCTCACTCACTCAGTTCTCCAATTTTCTCGATTCTTTTTTTTATTAAAAATTATGTAAAAGTCATCATTAATAAATTCGTGACCGTATTCAATTAAAAAAAAAAAAAAACTTTGGTGTCGTCATCATCAACGTGTACCTGTTATACCTCGTAAAAAAGTTTAAGCCGTAAAAAAAACATGTGTTTTCAACGAAAATTATTATTATTATTATCATAGTCGTCCGTCATACTTTGTTTTTATTTTCTTTTATTTTTTTTCTTACATTTCCTATATATTTAAATTTTTATACGATTCGAATGGAAAAAAATATTCCTTTTACTCAATAATTACGACAACAACAAAAAGCAGAAGAAAAAAGAAGCAGAAGAAAGAAAGAAAGAAAGAAATTCTCATGGTCACGTTGCCCCATATTTTTCGCTTCATTTAAATTATTGTTGGCAGTTTTTTTTTTTTTCTTTTAATGCCATTTTAAAGGTCAATGACAGTAAGAAACTTTTATTTCGATTCGATATATATATATATATAGGTACAAATCCTTAAATAGATTTGAAGGTTGAATGGCAATAATCTAACAGAAGAAAATCCTTTTTTCCGGGGGGGGGAGAAGGGGGTGAGAGGGTAACAAAATTTCATTAATTTGACGTTTAACTGCATCTCACGCCTCCCAACATTATTAAAAAAAAAAAAAATTCTCATTTAATTAATAAAATTTAATTGCAAATCTATCCGATATTATGCGTATCTCCCCCCCCTCCACGTGCATGCACGCGTGTAAATTCGCGCGTTTTTTTAAAAAAAATCGAATCGAATGAATCTCTCTCTCTCTTTGGGATTTATTATACCCGAAAACCCACAACGATTCCCGATTCTTTTAATGATGATGATGATGATGATGACGATTCTACTTTATGAATGATTTGCATAATTATCAACCTACCTACCTACCTACCTACTACACCTTGGTTTCTTTCAGGCACGAAAATAATAACCGTAAGCAACGACGACAAAACCACCGGTCACCCGAGAGCTAACCTTAAATTTTATATTGTTTTATAAGGTTTTTATTATTAGACTGCCCCACCTCCCAAAGACGACGACGACGAATCGAAAGGGTGTGATTAAACATAAATCTTCTATTATTATTATTATTATTATTATTATTATTATTGTATTCAAAACTTTTAGTGTAACCAAAACAAAACCTTTGTCAACGTGTGGGTCAAAATCAGAAATCATCGTAAACCTCGTTTCTTTTTCTACCTGTAGGCTAACAACAGGGTTAATGAAAAAAAACCGTAGGTGTGTGCGTGCGTGTGCGTGTGTGCTACTAAAAACCACAACGCATTTGACATTATTTTAAAAAGGTAAAATAAATACAAAAAAAAAAAAAAATCTTCAGCGAGATGGCGTACAAAGGAAAAGAGAGAAAATTATTCGGGTTAGAAAGAATAAGAAGAAGAAGAAGAAGAGAAAAAAAATCATGAACGTCTCATCATCCGTGTTACAAACCCAAATCACCATTAATGGCGTACCTGAAAGGTAAAAATATAATAATAATTGTACCTAATTCTGAGAATTGTATTTCGTATAACAATGAAAAAATAGGCGAGAAGGAAACTCATTGAAAAAAAAAGGCAACCATTGAAATTTGCCAATCGAGAATAAAAAAAAAAAAAAAAAAAAAAAAAAAGTTTCGTGCGTGTTTTTGAATTCGATCCGTGGATTCTACTCATTTCTACCCCCCCCCCATTCTTATTAAATATTTTTACTTTTCCTTTTATTATTATTTTTTTAAAGTCAAAAAATTAAGTCTTTCCATCGTTTCTTTCGAGTTAAAAAAAAACAAACAATGAACATTATTAAATCGTGATACAAAATTATTTTTTAAAACAAACAAACAAAATTTAATTAATAATAATAATAATAATAAATAAATAATGGCGCCAAGTAGTGAGTACCACCCATCACGTGATGAGTCACCTACTACACCCAACCCCCCTCCACCCCCACA